CTTAAAGCCAGAAGGTTGGGATGTTAAATGAAAATATTTTTGAGGCATGTTTGATGGGTTTTTTTCTAAACAATTAAATGAACATTTTCCATAAGTGGTGATTCCATGCTTTATGCCAAGGGTTGTAGTATACAGCAAGAAAGCTTACGCAAACACTAGGCGGGCTTTCATGTGTTTTCCACTGAAGAGAGGCTTCCGTCTAGCCACTCTACTTTAAATCCCAGATCGGTGGAGGGCTACCGTGATGGTTGTCATCCTTGACATTTCTCCCATCTCCACACAGGATCTCTGGAGCTCAGAGTGACCATCGGGTTCTTTGTCACCTCTCTTACTAAGGCCCTTCTCCCCTGATTGCTCAGTTTGGCTGGCTGACAAGCGCTTGGAAGAGTTCGGTTGTTCGAAACTTCTTCCATTTGAGAATTATGGAGGCCACTGTAACTTTTCCCAGATCTGTGTCTTGCAATAATTCTATCCCTGAGCTCTACAGGCAGTTCCTTTCACCTCATGGCTTTTGCTTTGATAGAGTATGCACTGTCAGCTGTGAGGCCTATTATAGAGAGGTGTGTGTGCCTTACAAATCATGTCCAAACAATTTAATTTACCACAGGTGGACTCCAATCAAAGTGTAGAAACATCTCAGCAATGATCAAGAGAAATGGCAGACACCTGAGCTAAAATTTCAGGTGTTGTTGCAAAGGGTCTGAATACTTTGCCCAATGTGATTTTTCAATTTTTCCTTTTTCATACATTTGCAAACATAAAATTCTGTTTTCACTTTGTTATTACGGGATAATAAGTGGAGATTAATGAGAAAAAATATCTAAACATCTAAATTGTAGCATCAGGCTGCAACATAACAAAATTGAAAAAAGTAAAGGGGGTCTGAATACTTTCTGAATGGCCATCTGTGGACTCTTCATAAGCACACACTGAGAATTAAGACCAGTAACAGTAGCATAGAGCCATTGCTCTACCTGCCGAGCATATCCCAGGGGTGGAGGGAGACCATCACTACAGTTTAGACCCAGCAGAGCATCAAACCCTTCCCTGCTCCACCAACTAATGAATGATTTCCACTGGGAGGTGGAAACTGTGCCCATTGCAGATCAGAAGGGACAAGTGTCAGGAGGTCAATAAGCAGAAAGATGGACAACCAGTGATCTAGAGAGAAGAGTGCAGGGGAGAGTGAAAGCTCATGCAAGTAGAGAAAGAAAGGAATAGTGTACAACAGAAGACCTTTGAGTCTTGGATTTTTCCAGGCGTCCATGTCTGAGAACAAAAGGAGAAAAAAGTGGAGAAAAAAAAAAAAAGGCAGAGAGAATTAGTGGCAAATTGATTTCCTGTCCCATAAATGGTAATTCATCACAGAGGCAGCCATTTTGTGTTCTGAATCAATATTTATAAGAAAGTATTTTCTGCTTTGGGTACAGGTGTTATTAGATGGTGGAACCATGACTGAGGACTCATATACAGTGTGTAGGTTTAAAAAAAATAATATATTTTTATATATTTACACCTTACACAAAACCATGCTCAATGGTCTCCAACAAAGCTACATTTTCTCAGTTAGGTTTCGGTCACACAGAAGGGTCACGGGGTGTTGGGAGGAATAATTGATCAGCTTACAAAATGTCTTCCTCCTGGGGTCATTCAGTTAGAACACATACAAAAGCGCCAAATCTTGCAAGCTTAATGCACAACTCACGGCAGAAAAGAAAATAGCCAACTTTAATCTGGTTAGGAATTCATTAGAAATCAGGGCTAAGTTCACCTTTTACAAAGAAATCATAAATGCATTGTTTTTGCAGGTTAAAAAATGTGCATGTTTTATTTGGTTAAATAGGAACCTGCAAAGTATTACAATTTCAGGCTTCTGCACGCTCTCCAGCTTTCAGCCCAAACCTCTGTATGGGTAAACTGAATGGTGTGTGAATCGACTACAAGCGTGCTAATGAGCCCATTCAAACTACAGATACATCTTCTGCGGTGGCAGACAGAACTTGTAGTTTTCTGATTCAAAGGTTCCCTAATGAATGACGTGGCTGTTCGGGCGGAGCCCTGCGCCACCATGCCAATTTTAAAATTTGACAGCAGGTGCAGGGAGAGGGGGTGATGGGGGGTGCAAGGGGAGGCTACTGAGCACCAGAACTTGTAAATCGAGAGTGACAGGTTCACACTTAAGAGACCAGTGAGCCTTATCTCGGTGCCAAAAGACAAATTAGATAATGCACTTCCACTGGCATAACCATCATCTCACATGAGGCTTCCGCTGTAATCTTTCCTTTCCAGCTGCATTAGATACAAATCTCCTGGGATTTGTAGGATACTGAAGTAAAAATCTTTCCCTTTGCCTGCAGAACAATATGTTCCATCTTATCCAGAGGTTTTACATTATATACTGACAATTCTTACATAATGATTCCTGAGCTGACCACAAGACGACACTTACTGGAAGAGGAAGTTATGTTTTCTTCATAGCAGCGACATCTAACTGTCACTCAGCCAAAAGACATGAAAACCCAATCTGGATGCTGTGATACTGGGCAGATTTCTTACACTGCTGTTACCATCCTCTAAAACCAATCAGGCCGGGAATGACTGTGGTCTGGATATACTCCATCAGTTTATATATTGTATGTCAAAAGGAGGCAGAACTCACAGAGCTCTCTATAACTGAGCTGTCCACAACAAAAACAATAGCGTAAATTAGGTTTCTCTGTAAGGATCTCAGCATTTTCGTTCTCACAGGAGTGTTAAAATTCAGAAGCATTTCAACTCGGGTAGCCTCCACAGGTTCTTGCACACAATGCTGTAGTTGGCTCTGAGAGACAGTGACATTTAAATCACGGATCAGAATCGCATATATTTTCTCAGGTTCAGAATCAGGGGCAGTCAGACCATGGGGATATATGCAGTACTCTGCTCATGAAGGGAAAAGCAACAGGTTCACTTAAATGCCTGTCCTCTCCAGCAGCACATACTTACCCTTCACTCCAATCACACTGTTCAGCCTTTGAAAGTGAATGAAAGCCTTGTGTAAGCTAAGAGTTGCTGGAGACAGTTCATACAGGACTATGGACTTCCCATGTGACATGCCCAGGCAGGCAGTCACATAGAGCAAGTTACATGCTCCTATATATCTGGTATTTGGGTCCTGGTGTGGAATGGAGCAGTGGGGGACTGAAAGAAAGGCAAGTACATGCTGTATGGTGGTAGTTTAAGCAAAACTATTTCCTTTAAGGTAGCAGGGCTGTCAGCAGCACAAGTGGAATGCCAAGAAGAAAATTAGGTATGTGAGAAATCCAGATACCGGTCTCTCTCTCTCCCCCGTGTGTACTTTTGCATCATTAATCTGCTTTTCTGGAATGTTTTTGAATAAAGTGTTGCTCTGCAGAACAAGGGTGTGCAGCCATATGGATTTCTCACTTGTGGATGTACAGCCTTGAGCTAGGCTAGCATCCCTCCTGTGTTCGGAAAGGGAATGTTAATTGCTGGCTTACCTTGAGTAGTGGTAGAAGCTGTAGAAAATTAGGTAGGTATGTAGTAGAAATGAACTGGTGAAAATCTAAATTGATTGTTTTACATACTGTATAACCTCCCAACTGAAAGTATTGTGTATTGGGATATGTTTATGGTCCCAGGCTGCTGCCTCTTCTGATCATGGTGGAACATATATCAGAGGATCTATTCTTTGGTGTGGAGTTGGGAGCACCTAAAACAGTCACATAGCTTGGTGATTTGTTTAAAAATTTTTTGGGTTAAGAACGGCAAAAAGCAGCCACGGCTTTTGGGGGATAAAGTCTTCCCCTTCTTCAGGGTCAACATGTAAAAAAAAAACAATGATCATAAAATGTGGTGGTTCATAACTACATGGTAACGAAAACAAATTGTAAATGTGTCTCATCTGATACATTAAAAATGTAAAATTAAAGCTCATATACAGTAGTATATACTATAAATAAACCAAACAGTTCATAAGAATCAGACAGGAAATGTGAAGTCCAATTATTCACACACACATATAAATAAACACCAAATGCCAAATCAGGTGAGATAGTAATTTTAAGAACAAAGAATTAAAACTAAAAGATGAAAACTAGATCAATTTAGTTGATTTAGTATTTAGTTAGGACTTTGTGCCCCGAGTCAGTTATTCTACAGAAATGTTATAGCACCAACAGTTTGCGCAGTACTTCACAATATTTAGGACCAATTTCCACTGACTTGCACTAAAACAAATGGAAATTAATGTACATTTCCATCCATTTTAGTTGCATTGTAATGCGCACTGACGTATGTTGACATACATTTTGATGTCCGTTGACATGCATGCACAGTATTATGGTGTAAATAGGACAAATTGGAAATTGTTTTCCAGATGTCCTTCTGTTGATCTGCGTTTTACAGCTGCGCTAAAACACAGATCAAACACACTGGTGTGAACTGGCCCTTAAAGGCAAACTCCACTCAGCTTTAGGTAAGCATTAGTCAGTTGAATAATCCATTGGCTGTCTGGCTAAGACTCCAAAGGAAATGGGTGATAGAGTGTCTCCACCTCATCCCACTCAACCATATTGAAGATGTCACCATCACAGCTACACTCTGCACATTTCACACCACGAAAAATCCATTAGAGAAGAGTTAGCCTATCATCTGGCTTATAATATTGGTTGTAGTTGGGCAGAAATGGGACATCCAGTGTCGACAAATGGCCACTAGAATCTCTGAAATATATGAAGCCAGTATGTAATTAAATTTTCCAGAAACCATGCAGATGTTGTGCTTTATTTACATAATGCTTTAATGTCTCTTAAGCATTTTTAATGAAGACAACATAACACAAACCACCATAACAAACCAGAACAGGCTGTATGTAGGCAGGTCTTTCAATGCTCAATTGATGGGTCTCCAAGCACCTTCTCACCCCATCCACTACACTAAAGATCAGGTCATTCAGCATATAAGAAACTATATTACCCAAGGTGCAAATTAATTATAAACGTAACCTAGTGGAATGCACATCCATGAAATTACCATTGTCTTCTCCAGAGGTTTTTTTCGGCGATCATCTGGTGACACGTGGACCAGCTGCAGGATTAGGGGTCTTCTGGTCACTATTCCAGTGCCTCGGGGAAGCAGATCCCGGCCAACCAAACTCTCCAACACGGAGCTCTTCCCACTGCTCTGTAGAAGGAAAAACAGATAAGGTGAAGAAAAATATGACAAAAGTAAATGCTGCATGTTCCGAATACACAGGATCCCTTTGCAGCAATGTTCTTGTATACTGGTATCAGGGAACTGTAATGTGTATAATAAAGGGGTTTTCTAGCTTACTCTGTAGCTTTATCCAATATCCTGTTCAAGTTTGGGTGCAGAATAAATAATATGATCGAGATTGTGGCATAAACTTGCATGTTAATAGCCAAACACATGTTAAGATACCATTTGTGTAAGCTTTATTATGAAGCAACAGCATTTGGCTAAGCAAATTCATCCTATTTTACTGGGTGTTTTGCAAGGTTTGCACAATGCCTATTGGCTTGGAATGGGCATCAATCTTATGTCTAGAAGTAGCTTAATCCAACTATACAGCGCCAACATTTTTCTTGCATGTGAGTAGGCAGCAGCTCAGGCTAAGCAGAATTAGCAGGTTCAAATTTTGTTTGTAAGTTGTGCCTTTTATCTCTTGGTAATTCTAGAAGTCAGGTCCAAAAACCAAGTTTATTTTGACTCGAATAAACAAAAGGTGCCACCACAAACGCAAAAGTGATCAATCCAGTGATTCCAAACACTGCCAGGTGCTAGCTTTCAAGGGGCCTGTCTCGCCCATTAGACAATCTGTCAATAGCAAAAAAAACCAGAAGCACATACTGTAGGCCCAAACAAGTGTGTGTCAGGTAGGCTTCCGATTGCCTTCTCCCAAGCCACATCACTCTAACATGTTTCACCCTCTCTCGGGGGCTTAGTCGTAGTGGTCTAAACCCTTCTATGACTAAGCCTGTGAAAGGGTGAAATGGCTTGGGAGGCCAGAGTATGGCTTGGGACCGAGTTTTTTTTTTTTTGTGACTACACACTCATTTATTTACATTCATGGAGAATGCAGTTGGACAACCTGACACTCATGCTTGCTTTCAATAGGAATTTAGTGAAGACATATGTGAACTCCATTTTGGCTATTTTACCACATGACAACCCAAGAATATAGGCCACTGACTGGAGCACACCCAAAAATGTAAATGTGAAAAGGAATGAGTAGATAATTAAGATCCCTTCCACACTGGGCTGTTCAGCTGCAGTGCACCCAAGACGGGAGTAGCGTCCAACTCCCCTGCAGACAGCTTGTCAATCTGTGGCAGGCTGCTGCTGGATGGATGAATGCTCAGGGACAAGGATCCTGAACGCAGGTTACTGGATGCACTGCAGCTGAAAGAGCCAGTCTGCAAGGGGAATTCCAGACAACCAGCTCCATCCACATTAATAAATCCTTACCTGCCAAGATTAATTCAGTAAATCCTATGATCCAGATACAAAAATGCACCAGCATTCCAAATAAGTGTTTGTTCGGACAATTTATATTGAGTTGCGTTTTTCTGCACACCACTGCACATGTATGGTTTGAACAGGCAAACACAACTGTTTTATATGTGCCCTGTTCAAACCATACATGTGCAGTGATGTGCAAAAAAAAAAAAAAAAAAAAAAAACACAGCTCAACAGAGATGGTGCAAACAAGCCCTAAATGTGTTTCACTTATTATGAAGAAAGCGTCACAGAACCCCTAAGAAAACTAACATTTCGGGGCCTCGCAGGGTCCTTTTCTCGAAGTGAAAGTGACACACTGCCCTCCTGGACAGCACTAATCTTTTATCTGCTGCAGGTAATATAACCTTGGCACAACCCACCTCCGGATTGGATACTGAAAGAGCATTAGGGCACTGCTTAGGTAATCACTCTGCTCTTTTCTGTCAGTGAATTTTCAGTCTCATGCCGATAGCACCTTGAAAGCAATGGAGCCTGACTGGCTGACAGTACTGGCAAAGGAGATTCGAGTAAGCTAATAGAAAGGCAAAAAAATTAGCATCCTACCTATTCATTTCAGCTAAAAGTACTATAGCTCAAGCTTGGAGAACCCCTTCGGTAGTCTTGCAAGGGGTGAGGACTCGGATGAATGCTATGTTGTTCAATTAGCAGATGTCTAGCATTCTTTATGATTCTCATCCGAGATTCCTTAAGGTTTGGGAACCTTGGATACGCTATTCCTTACCATCCCTGCCTCCTACTAGTTATGGCCTCCTTTAGTCGCTGTTGGTGCTAGTCCCGGATCCGTGATCCCTTTAGTTTCTCTTCTTTCATGTTTTCCGATTGCCTTTTGTTTTATTTTCTTTCGTTTTTCTTCTAACTTCTTTTCTCTTTTTTCCAATATTATGTTGGATTACTGCTTCTATTTGGCTCGGCTGTTTGCCGTCCCTTCTTGATGTCATCAGACTTTTTGTTATTTGACTAATACAAGTCAGCAGAGTGTCCCTGTTTATATGTTATTGTTCTGCTCTGCCCCTGCGAGGGCGTATTTTGATCTTGCTATATTCTTAAAAATCAAAACTTTCCTAATAAAAATATTGAAACAGAAAGGCAAAAAAATGAGTTCCTGAATTTGCCTATATGCATCTGGGAAGGGTTATCCAGAAAACCCTATTGCTTCGTCCTGCAAGGAAAAAGCACAGGTCCAGCTTTAGGGTTTCAAATGTGCTAAAGTTTTCAAAAAGCTAAATGTATTTTGCAAATGTCTGGATCTGTTTTTACAGCTTTTATTGCAACTGTGGCATTTCCTAATGACATACAAACACATTACAGGCTCTTCATCAGAGCTGTGATAAGCCATTTTTAACAGATCAATGCAATCTTCATTGCCAAATGTTTCCAAAGTGATAAATTACAACTGTATTCTGCACCACTGATAATAAGCCATAAAACTGCACACTGAGCAGATGGGGTCTACTGTGGATGGGTGGGAAAGCCAAAAATGTGTTTTTCTTTTGCAGTTGAGTTTTTTTACAGCCTCTAAATGCCACTCCATGTTCACCAATGTCTCCATCACATGTGCAATCAGGAAGGGAGCGTTTTGGCCCAAAAAACCCTGGATGCTTCTAAATTCACTTAAGCCATTTAGCACTTGAACGTTTTTTTCATTTCAATGGTCAGATTAAATACTCCGGCCAATGAAATAAATGCCTAAGCGTTTGTTGCACATAAACGTGTTTGCAAAAAAGTGGCTTAGGCACGTTTTTTAAGCTGCTTTTCTTAAAGCATTATGAAAAAGGTTTTTTTTTTTTAATTTAAAATAACAAACTTGTTATATACACCCACAGTGAGCAATGGTATTGTACAAAGCAGTCCCAAATCTCTTCTGGGGTCCCCCACTGGTGCTCTCCGCTCCTCCACTTCTGTGTCTGCCCCAAGAGCTAGTGCTTGCTTTGGGGGCAGATGTGGGGGCTCGCTCCCGAGCAGGACCATAAACACACAGCATGGTCCCCCTCCTCACAAGATTTGATTGACATCAGCAGGAGACAATAGGCCCCACTGCTGCCTCTGAGTCTAGGGAAGAGAGACTCTCTCTCGGGCACAGCACAGGATCAATACAGGACTCAGGTATGTATTTGAGGGGGGCAGGCTGATACCAGAAGGGTTTTTGCCTTAATGCCTAGAACATCTTAAGCCTTTAGAACCACTTTAAATGGCATCCATTTGCTTTTTAAGCTGGTAGCAGAAAATAGAGAAAGTGGTATAAGGCTCCATTCACAGCAGAGCACAGTGCTTTTGTGCATTTTATTGTCGGTTTGCAAATGTTTGTGTGCGATTTTTTCAGGCGTTTTGGGGTTGAGTTCTTGCGTTTTTATATTAGCCAATACAGAAAAATGTCATCTGTGACATCAATTGTTGCCATGGCAGAAAAATTAGCGATTTGACTGTTTGTGAACCATCAGCAATATTGATTTTTTTTTTTCTCCTTGAGCGTGTGAGCTTCGAGCTACAAAACGTTCAGGTGTGGATGGGGCCTAATGCTGAGAAATGACCAAGATATTCTTTACTAATAAATGCACCCTTCACCGTACAGTAACAATATAGCTAGTTGATGTCATGGAAAGGAGCTGCTGCTAAATACAGATTGCCACATTCGGCACAGAGCTTCTGACCTTGGTTTCTCACAGACAGTGTGCTATCACTCTAGTATTTACACTTATGATGTACATCAGTGATGGACAAATCCCAGAAGTCAGGTAGCAAATCCCAGAAGCCAGGTAGCCAATCCTCTTTTAAAATTTCAGGTGGCAACTAACTTACAATGTTCTCCCTAATTACTGTCAATTGAGCTGCCACTTAGAAATCCTGCAGTCGCCTAGAATGTACAGACTAGCTCTTGAATTATATAAATCACATTTGTCCGCTCCTGATAAAAACCCTACCTGAAAGACATTCAATTTGCTAAAGCACTTTTTTTTTAATACACAATTTTATTTCTTAGGCTGTTTGCATTCTGATCCGTAAACCAGACCTGCATGGAAGAACATTCTGGGATTCGTGTCGAGGTCTGTGCAGCTGACTGCCCGTCATTGATCCAAACAGGCTGCCTGCACAGAAGACCTGTGCATTCCGCGTGGGTGAAGATGGACATATGGATTGGTACGCCTGTGTAAATGAGGCTTAATACAGTTTTCACCTTTCTCCATTAATTGCTGCAGCCACTTCCTGTCTACATGCATCTCACAAATGGCTGCATGACATTTCTCATGATGGGTTTCCTGATGGGGACAACAGAGGACTATGCCTTCTGGATGTGTGTTGAAACATGTAGTCTCCATTGAAAGCTAATGCAACAGTGTGCACAACTGGAAAACAGAACAGAGTGATCCACCTTTCATTTTTTTTTTTTTCTTTCCCAGCTAGTTGCTGTTTATCTGTTACAGTCTCTTTCAACTTCTCCCTGCTGACATGCACTCACTCTTTCATAAGGTACTCCTGAGGACCACC